CAGGCTTACTTAAAGACGTCTCCCGGTCTCGGAGCTAGAAGGTGGGAGGAGGGCGAAGGCTGGTGGTGTGCCGCCGAGCGGGGCAGCGGCCCGAGCGGGGCCCCGGGGAGGTGGCAGCGGGGCGACCTCGGCGACGTCCCTTCTCCTGCGAGTCAGGGGGAAGCAAAACTTAAACTTGTTCAGTGCGTGACTTGCCCCGCGGCCGGAGCTGGGTGCAGGGATCCCGAACTTCCAAAGAAACGCTGTCCTGAAGGGTCCGCCGGACTCGGGTTGGACGTGTTCAGTGAGCAGCGTATGTTCGGTGTGTGTTCTGTGTACACGTGCGCCTTGTCCGTCTTAGGCTGCAGGTAAGTTTGGGATCTTTCTAAAAACAAGATTTGTTTCAGTAAGTCACTTGCATCTCCTTCCCTGACCATCTGTAGTTTTGCTGTTCTTATATTTAAAACTGTCCAGTTTACTTTTTTTTTAGCAACTGTGCATATTTGTTGTCTTTCCTTCACAGAGTTACGTAGTTTTTGTTGTTTGTGTTCTGTGCTGGTTCTTCCAATATAATTACTTACGTACATACTGAAATGAATTAAAACACTGTAATGTAGATAACATTTGAATGGCCAGAAGGTATGATGTGGGAGAAGGGATAGCAATTTTTGTAAAATGTGACTTCTGTTTAAAAAAACAAAAACAAAACAGCCAAAAACCTCTCTGGGGATTAATTTGAGATTTTTAATTTTATATTCATAGAATTTTGTTTTCACAATAAATAGCGCTTGCATATTTTATGTAGGCAGTTGTCCCTATTTCATACAAGGTAGCGTATCTATGCTTTTAAACATCAGTGGTGTTACGACTCTGAGATAAAACTGCGTTTGTATTTGTTAAGCTCGTCAGGACTATGCAGTGTATCGGAATCACTGTTAGGGTAATCTTGTAAGCTGGCATTTTATTTTGTTGTGTCCTGACATTATAGCATTGTCAGATATGTTACCTGATCTTGGTGAAGAAATCTGCTGGCTTATCCATATATATGAGGAAAATGTAACTTAATCCTTTCTTAAAAAAAAAAAAAAAAACAAACCCACAGCCCTCCTTTTACTTAAACCAGAGAGAATTTGCCAGGGGGGTGTCTGGGAGCTGCTGTTTGTGCAGCTGTGTCGGGAGACCTGGAGGGACTGCAGCCTTTTCACCCCCATCAGGTGTAGTGAGTGCAGGCTGCCTGACTGCTGGAGTAATTAGTACTTGCCCCTTGAACATCATCAATAGACACTTTCTTTCTACAGCGGAGTGTGAATAGCTTGCTTTTACGTGAGGTGATTTTATGTGTACTTTTCTGGTACGCTTCTTATTCTCAGGCAGGAGTTCACTGCTCACACTCATGGTTCAGGCTTGTCTTCATCACATGCTTCCTGTTTTGAATCACCCTGCCATGTTGCTGAAAACGGATTTGACCTATCTTTCTAGCTTTTCCCCTGTTGTATTTTGGTATTGGCTTAAGCATAATTTGAATGTGTCCATAATTGGATATCTTCTAAAAATGATTCAAATGAATTCCAGCACAAACACTTAACTAAATTTAAACCTGAAATACCAATTTTCCCATAACCTGACAGCTTTCTCAGTGTTTCTTCAGGCAGGCTGTGTTCCTTCTCACTTTCCCATCCCCACCTGTTACTTGAGAACAAGTAAATGGTACTAAGCCAGGTATGAATTGAATTGAAGGGCTACAAATCATTGTGCAGTTTCATTTAAAAATAAACTCCTTCAGTTAAACAGGTGTGACTCAGAAAACAGGTTGCAGTGCTTAACTGGTTTTTGATCAGTCCATTCTCCATCATGCATGCTGTCAAATCCACTCTGTTCCGGATCGTTTAGGCTTCTCAACTGGGGCCTGAGCCACTGTCCATCCTCTCTCTGGCCTCCGCAATGCTCAGCAGGAGCAAAAAGCATTCACTTGTCTCATTGTACCGAACTTTTCAGTTCCATTGCCAAATCTGTCATCTTTTTTTTTTCTTGTATTGTAATCTTTTTTTGTAACACACCATCTACATTTCCAATGGTGCCAGTTTTTGACAGATTCTACATAAGAGTAGACTCTTTCATCAACATGATTTCTTTTAAGTAGTATGTACAATCTGAAGTTACAAGCAAGGCCTCAGCTTTTTTTCTTCAGAAGAATTTTAAAGCCCCATTTCTGCTGTGAAATGACCAAATAAACAGCAGCTTATTTACAATGGCTAAACAGTCATTGTTTGGAGCTGGTTAAGTTATGTATTGAGGTGGGTGTAAAGAGAAAAAAAAAAAAAGGTGATGACTGTTAGTCAAAAGAGAGTGAGGTTTCACAAGCAGGTGTAACTAGTGCTTTAAACAAGAAATGTAATGGCTTTCAGAAGCATCCCATTAGTTTATGAATGAGTGTGTGATAAGGTTTTCTGTAATGAAAAGGGACTAGACTCATTAATCTGGAAGGCTGCCTCCAGTCTTGGGTTGTTAGGTTAGCGCTAATGCATCTCATTTCATTGTTTTTTTTTTTCCTTCTTAGAAGTGAAAGTTGTTAAAATAATGGAATGATTTAATAAGGAGGTTGTGTGCTTGTTATTAATTTGTTTTTTAAATTAGGTTAGGTTTTTTTTCTAAAACATATGCTTTAATTTGGCTCTGGGCTGTGATAGTTATCATCTGTGAATAGATGCTCCTATCCCTCATGGCCTGTGGTTCGAACAGGTTTGCCTGCGTTGCCTTCAGCACAGACACAGCATCAACTCAGCTTAAAAACCACAACTATGATCAGATCTCATGTTTCAGGGATTCAGTAAATTTATTGCATGGGTCAGAGAAGACTTTTTTATGATGCACAGTTGCTTAGATGTATCCTGACAGGATGCAGAAGATCTCTCATCAGATAGCAGGCTTATGTTGTATTGAATTATTTATCCTCAGACTCATCTCTGGATTTGAAATTAAGAAGAATTTTCCAAAATAGGAGAGATCTTGAATTCCTGTTTCTTTCTCCTGGGATGTGCTAGATCTGAGTATCTGGCTTTCTAGTCACTGTTACTGCAGGGTTCTTGACGTGTTGAGTTTCACGTGTCACTGACAGAAAACGGGAGTTTCTTCTGAAGCCTGAGCCAAGAGCAGCAGAGGGACCTCAGTTTCGTGTCCTGTTGTGCTGATTCAGTTTCAGTCTGATGTATCATTCCTACTTGGTTTTATACTTTTTGATGCTTGAAGCTACAGAATAGCTAGTGTATGTTATTTACTACTTCTGCCTTCCATCAGTTGTCTTTCTGGTTTGCTTATAAGATGGCTTCAGTTTGGATCTATTCAGAGTTGAAGTTAATTTGCTTGGCAGTTTTTTATTTTACTGAGCCTTTAACTTGACACATACGTATCTTGCTTTTTTCTTTTTTTAATATGAAACTCTTGAGTGCTTTTACTATCTAATGTGGAAATTAAAAAACATTGTAATAATATAGAACTGAAGACTGTAGTAGTATGTGAAAAAGCATGGCTACTATTACCGCTTCTTATTTACAGACCTCTGAGGTTTTCCAAAAGAGTTAAGTAGGTACTGTTGTTAGACGTATTTCTGTAGGACTCCACTAAAAGACCAGTAAGGACTTCAAGAAGGTAATAAATTTAGTGTCCTGTCATGCTTACAAGGGAAAGTATTCTATTTTCATAGGAAGAACTGCAAACAGCGGGGCTTTTTTCAGTTTCCACAGCAGGTGTCCTTGCTGTCCCGGGAGTTGCTGCATACCCAGTAAGTGCAGGGGCTGTTTCCCCAGCCCCCAGGAGCCCAGCAAGCTTGTAACATGTACAAGCTCATATAATGGCTAAGCAGTAAAGCTAAGGTTAGAAGGCAGGGCTCCTCATTTTAGACTCTGTGTTTGAAATACAAGGTCATGTTGCCTTCTGTGTTGTAATTAATGGATTCCTTTTTCAGATCCTTGTTGGGCATCTATAAACAGGGGGATTCTAATCTGTGACGAGTGCTGTAGTGTTCATCGAAGTTTGGGGCGTCATATCTCTCAAGTGAGGCATCTCAAGCATACGCCATGGCCTCCAACACTGCTGCAGGTAAAAAGTAAAACTGTGTCTTCCTTCATTGAAACTAGATAATTCATTTTTTTTAACATTTTAAAATGGAATTTAAATCACTAAGCTGTTGTTTGAGAGGGGCTGGTCCTTTTAAGCTTTCGTTTTGTACGTTAGTCTCCTTTTATTCCTCTTGTTTTGCCGTGATGGACCACTAATATCAGAATTGTCTATGCCTTTTTAATTTGATGCCTTTGTTTTAGAAGGTCACCTTCAATTTTTCTTTCAGACTTGTGCTTCAACCTAAATTTTTAATATATAGCAAGCCTCTCTTTTCAGTAGAGCTGCTGTTGGAAAGAGTAGAGAATTTTAAGGGTGTTCTTACTACATTCCACATAATAACCTCCTAGGCATGTACCTGGTTCTTATATCCCAGTAGGTTAGGGATGCTGGTACACAGATTATGAAACTCTGTTGGCTTGCTGTCGTCTTGGAAATAATTACTGGTATTTGGTTAGTCAGTCTGTGCAGCTAGCAGCAAAATTTCTTTACTGCCTATACATTTTGGATTTCAGATGGTTGAAACACTGTATAATAATGGTGCTAACTCCATATGGGAACATTCGTTGCTGGACCCTGCCTCTGTTATGAGCGGAAGGCGTAAAGCTAGCCCGCAGGATAAAGTGCAGTAAGTGGCAAGTTAGAGAAATACTTTCTTTGGTAGAAGAGTGATTATTTTATTCAGCAGTGACAGAAGCAGCAAGGTATCCATGGGAACCTGTGTATATTTTGTTGATGGAAGAGAACAGGAGTAAACTAGCTATTTGTTCTTTCTTTTTTAATTTCCAATGATTATTTTTTTTAATTTATTGCAAAGATTGAAATATAGTGCTTGGATTCTCTAGCTTTGAATAGTGAGGACCTTTAGTTGTACTTGAATCAAAAGACATTTAATTCTTGTGCCATGTGCTTCAGTTAACTGAATGATGCTAATGATAGAGTTTGGTTGATGAATTAAAAATTGAGGGAAGATTTCTGTCACTGAATATGGTGCTTCATTTTAAAATGTAAATAACTGCATATAGTAAGTATAGATCTTAAGTTCGCATAATTTTAAGTTCAGTGTTTACTTCTAAGAAATAGACACTACATCCTAGAGCCTGCAGATACTTTGATGTTTGTAACAATCTGCACTGTTTTTTTATGAAAATACTCTTCTGTGTCTAACTTTGCTACTAGTAGCATGCAGAGATCTCATGTAATCTTTACTTGTGAATTTTCCTTTTTGGTAGAGCATCTGTATTGCAAAAACACTAATATTTATTTCCTTTCCCTTCTCTTGCTTGGGTTTCTCTTTACAGTCCCAATAAAGCAGAATTCATTAGAGCTAAATATCAAATGTTAGCATTTGTTCATCGCTTGCCGTGCCGTGAAGATGACAGTGTTACTGCCAAAGATCTTAGTAAGGTTAGTATGTTTGGGTTTTTTCCAGGCAGTCTGCAGAAGCTACAAGTTGTATGTAACAGAACAGTGAAATCTGACTGAATTAAATTAGTTGCTTTTGACTTGAGATAACTGTTGCTGTTCAGTACTATTATGTGAACAAATACGGCTTGACTTCTTGAAGCCACTCTTTTTTTGGGTAATATATATGGATACCTGAGATGTGAATGGCTGAGAGGCATCAATTTAGGTTAACCTGGAGAAAAAAAACATGTACACAAACAGCTGCAGCAAGAATTCTTGCATACCTGTTTCTAAAATTATGGCTGAAAAAACAAATGCTGAATCACCGTTACTGCCGCTGTATTAAGTACAATCCTGCTTCTTTTTCAGCAACTCCATTCCAGTGTAAGGACAGGGAATCTGGAGACATGTTTGCGATTACTCTCCTTAGGAGCTCAAGCCAACTTCTTTCATCCTGTATGAACCCTTTTTTCATTATTTTGATATACAATCAGTTTCTTACAGTTCATAATATTTATACTGATTTCAGCTGATACACGTCATCATCTACTCAGATCCTTTGATTAAGTAGATACTTTTCTTAATAACTTGTAGGAGAAAGGAAACACCCCGCTCCATGTTGCTGCTAAGGCAGGCCAGACTTTACAAGCAGAATTATTAGCAGTTTATGGTGCTGATCCTGGCACGCAAGATTCCAATGGAAAAACTCCGGTTGACTGTGCAAGGTAGAAGGCTCTGACATATGTAATGCTCTTACACATTAATTGATGTTCATAAATCGCATGATGAACCTGCTTAGATATGTTTCTGTCCTGAAAATAACTTGACTGTTAAATGCTAATAAGTACTTTTTCTGGGAAGAGCGAATGCATAAAGAGTATAAATAAGCATTTTCATCATTTCATAGCCTGTATTCTCCTGGATGTTTGAGGCAACAGTTGTGATCCCAATGAAACAGGCTGTGCCAATCTAGCAGCTCCCAGAAAAGTAATCTTAGGTGAAGAGTTTCTGTAAGCTCAGCAAGCTGAGTAGACCCCAGCAGTGCAGATTAACTAGGGAATTGCTATAGGAAGGGGCTGGACCGCACAGATGCGTCAGAGAGCAGGAGGTGGAACCAGGATTTTTAGTGGCAGTGAACTGTTAGGCGCATTCAGTCGCAGAACTGCACCCTCAGGAAAGTCCTACCTTTAGAAAAGCAATAAGCTTCCCAAGGGCAGACAACAGTCATGTCAAGAAAGATTAAACATGAATGTTTCTGCCGATCATTTGTGCAGTAATGAGGCACTGCAAGATTTGCAGCACAGCATTGAAGGTTTTTGTGTTTATGTGCAAAATTGGACATCACTGATCAACTAGAAGCTGCATGTTTGTTTAAATAAATCATCCTTATTGCTCTGCTTTTGAATGGAGGCCGTACATGGAATCTAAGGCTGAATAAGTTCACTTGGTCACAGAACACAAGATGCCAGAATATTTCTAATTCTCAGTGCTGTTAATCAAATGTAAAGTTGGGTGAGTTTGCTGCATGAGCTCAAGAATGGTCTAGAACATTGTAAATAACATATTCAAAATAGCCTATATAATCTGCTTTTTTTCTACAGCAAAGCAGTAGGTAAAGGTTTTCAGAGGTTTTTTTTTTCACTGTCTCATTTTGGAAAGTTCATAAAAGTTTATCTATAGATTTTTTGCCCACTAGAACATACTGTTGAATATCCTTCTGTGAGTCTGGGCTGTGTTTATACACTCAAGCATGTGCAGTGTTGAACAGTAGCTTGTAGTAAATCTGTTTCTCTGACCATTTTTTGTATGTCTCAAGGTGAATAACTAATGTAGCTTTTGTGTGTGTGTTGTGTGTTTGTCTGTAAACCAGACAAGGTGGGCATCATGAGCTAGCAGAGCGCCTGGTTGAAATTCAATATGAACTCACAGACAGGTTAGCCTTCTATCTCTGTGGCAGAAAACCAGGTAAGTAGAAAAAAACCTACACTCCGAGATCTTTCAGTGTTAGTTATAGGACAGTTCAAACTATGATATATAATGTTTGTGTCAGTGTTACTACGTTTTTTATATGCATTTCAAATATTCTAACATTATATAAAGAAAGAACTAAAGAAAGTATAAGATGTAAGATTAGTGATAATGCATTTAAAATTCAGATAAAACTGCAGGATTTTAAGTATCCTTAAATTAAAAATTAAATTCCTTTCTGTTTTTCCACAAATATATGTTCTATAAATGGAATACCCCTGAAAGTGTGGAGAAACCTACATAGAAGATCAGATGAGTACTGTTTAACTTCAAGGAATGAATTGCAGGGAAAATACAGATTTTTGTGAATGTTGAATAGTCTGCAGGAGATATTGTAGAAACTCTTCAAAGGAGTTTCTTACTGAAATGCAAAAGCAGGAGAGTATTCAATTAAGTGGGTAGCTTTTGAACAAAGGCACACTTAAAAATTTTTAGCCATTAGGTGAAGGCAGCTATGCTACAGCTTAATCTTTTTTTTAAATGGAATTTTAGTACAGTTGATAAGCTGTAATTCAGAGTGTGATAACACCAGGAAAGTGTGGTAGGAACCTTCTTTTAAGACTTGCTAGCTTCCCGCAATTGGAAATTGCGTAACTACATGCAAGATTAATTATTCTGTTTGCCTGTTGCATATATTCTTGGGTTTCTCATTACTATGTCTTTTACTAAAACTGAATACCAGCTGTACATCCTGACAACATTGAAAACTATAGACCAGTAACAACCTATTAAAGTGCAATTTGTTTTCAACTCTAGAGCATAAAAATGGACAGCACTTTGTTATACCTCAGATGGCAGACAGGTAAGTTGCTGATTCCATGGCATGTCTGAAAACGTCAGAATTAAAAAAAACCCCTAATAATTACATTTTCTTTCCTTTCTGAAACAACTTGTAAGCTTCTTGTCATTCTGCCTTTATCAGTCTTGGAAGCTTTTTTCCCCACGAAAGAGTATTGTCATTTAAACAAAACCAGAAAATTATAGAAGTTTACTGTATTGAAGGAACATGTATGGGGATTTCTGGGAAACAGACTTTGTAAGTAATGTAAGGACCATTTGAGTTAGTTTCCTGATAGCATTTTGAAACTAATACTTGCAAGAAAGCTACATTTTTCTCTGAAAATATTTACACTTTTGACCATCTGAGTGCTTGTAACTTTTGGTTATGATGGATGAAATCATACGGGTATAAAACATACCAAGTATTAATCATAAGTGCCTATTTTTCTTTTATTGCTATGCAATTGGAAATAAGACGGCTGTAAGTAAACTATTGTTCAACTTCTTGCTTGCAAAATTTCGATGAAAAACCCATAATAAATTACAAGTTACAGAAACCATGTAATAGTTGGTAAAATACTTAGTGTTAACATCTGTAGTTTTTTAGATATGTTGTGTTTAGCTATTGCATAAGATACTGTGTATTTTCAGTGCAAAGTATTTTGCAGAGCAGAGTAAGTATCATTTGCCTCATTACACAGAGAAGGAGGTTGACAGGCAGAGAAAATGACTCGTTCAAAGATGCTGCTTAGATTGCAGGACCTGCAGTACAACCTGTCTTACCTCTGCCTGATGTCCTCTGCTGGTCGGTCTGTTTTTTTTTTCTTGTCTAGGTGACTGCCTACACAAACACTCTGTGATGTCAGCTTATCATACAGAGGTTTTATTTGAGCCTTTCCATCCTTGTAGGTTAGGGAAATCTTCCTCTGGGTGGTATAAATACGGACTCAGAATTTGTCAGCTTCCCGATCCGTGGCTTTTATGATTAATTCTGTTGCACTACATAATTTTCATCTTGTGTCTCATGTTCAAGGCTGGACACTAGTAGAAGAGATTCTTTACTAATCAGTACAGAATAATTTCAAGCATGGCCCCATTGCTATAGCCATTTGCCAGCCTGATGGTCACCTACCTCCTGCAGAGCCCAGTGGAATAAATACTGTGTGTTTTCTGTGGACTCAGAGTGATCATATTGTTCAGATTCCTTACAGAAGGCATTTTGTTGCACTACAACTTGACTGCTTCTTGACCTATGCAAATGTGGATATTCATATTCCGAAGGATTTTGGGGATTTTTTTGTTTAAGATTGTTGTTTAGAAAAGTTTTTAAGAATATGGTAGTTGCTATATTAGGAGTATTAGTAAGATCAATGTGTTAAAAAACTGTATTAAAAATACTAAAAAATTAAGTCTCAATATATTTTTGAAACATAGAATTTGTGTTTAAACAAGTGCTGTAGATGTAATGATCACTTCTTGTTTTCATAGCAGTCTAGATTTATCAGAACTTGCAAAAGCAGCTAAGAAGAAGCTTCAGTCTGTAAGTAAAACTTCCAATGTATGCTGTGTGACACATCTTTGTCTAGATGTGGCAAACTCTGCACTTCATCTTTCAAGCTGGTTTCAGCTGCTATAAATTCCTGCATAAATAAATACCAACTCTAGCAAGTGGAAAGTCTGGAGGAAAAAACTGAAAATAGCAGGAATGGAGGAGCAGAGATGATGACAGAGAAGAAATATTTGTTGGTCTCGTTTGGGGTAGTATCTCCAGGTCTGTCTGCCCAGTTCAGAACCTTAAACTTTGTCTTGCGCTCATGTATTTTTTTATAAATCTGTATGTTAAATGTTACTGTTTGCCTTTAACTTTCTGGAAAACCAGTATAATGCATTACTGTCTGCGAATTAGTTGATAGTAATGCCAGCTCACTAGTTTTACTAAAGCGTTGGTGACCAAATCCTTCTACAAGTTAAGAGTGGGGATATGTTTTCCCTCTACTTTCAAGCTTTTAGCTGAAGCGAATTGTATCAAAGGACAAAAATTTTGCAGTTAGGGGAAGAACAATCCTGGTGATGCTCTTCTATTCAACAGCGTCCATTTTTCTCTAAAGGTAATGCTAGTGGTCATGAAAATTCCAGCGAAGCAAGCCAGCATGTGTAGAACTGGTATTCAAATAGTAATCCATGCAAACCAAATAAGAATCCTGCTTTAGAACTGGCTTTCTGCTGTTAACATGCTGTCAGTGGCCACTTAAATGCATCGCTAGCTAGAAGTAGATGGATTCCTGCATTTTTGCAAGTCGTGGTGGGTTGACCCTGGCCAGCAGCCCAGCACCAACGCAGTCCTCCAGCAGGACTGGGGAGAGCATAGGGAGAGCAAAAAAACAAACTACTTCTTCCTCCACCCCAATTTTTATTGCTGAGCATGCCATGCCATGGTATGGAATATTGCTTTCGTGGATTCACGTCGGCTGTCCTGGCTGTGTCTCCTCCCAGCTTCGTGCCCACCCTGCGCCTACTTACTGCTGGGGGGGGGGCGGGGAAGAGAATGCCTTGATGCTGTGCAAGCACTGTTCAGCAGTAGCCAAAATGGTAGTTATCAACACAGTTTTAGCCACAAATCCAAAACACAGCAAGCATCGTGTGGGCTACTATGAAGAAAGTTAATGCCATCCCAGCCAGACCCAATACACAAGTAAACATACGGGCTTTATCAGGGTTCAAGAATGATGGCAGTTGCTTTTTGGTTAGGGATTTAGGATTCAAACTCTCAAAATGTGTGACTGGTTTTCCTGTAAATAAAGCTAAACCCTGAAAAAGTGTTCGGGTTTTCATCCTTTTTAGTATGGCTTGTCCCAGAGAAGGAAGATCAGCCATCTGTTCAGGCTTGCTTACACTATCAGTTAGTTATCAAGTATCTCTCTTGAACCATCCACTGCAGGAACACAGTTTGAAACACACAAGCATTTTGTGAGCTACACTGTTCAGTTAAGCCCACATCTACAGTGGCATTTGGATATCTAATTCCCACAGTAGGTCTGCTTCACCCCAAATACACAAGGTCTTTTTGTGATCAGGTGGGAGAGGAAAAAAAATCCATTAACCAGTAAAGGAAAAGTGTAAAACAGTATTGTTGTTTCTGTATCTAGCAGGCGTGTGGTTTTATACGTCTGCTTAATGGATTACTTCGCTGTGCAGCCTGAAAAACAGCCAGGGCAGAACAGAGTTGTGCTCTTACATTTTCTGTGTTACAAAGGTCTTAGCTAGGTTCTGTTTATTTTCGAACTGTAATTATTCTCTTCTACCCTTAGCTAAGCAACCACTTATTTGAAGAACTTGCCATGGATGTGTATGATGAAGTTGACAGGAGGGAAACAGATGCAGGTGAACAAGGCTTTCTGGAATATATATAAAATAAATTTGAATTGTAACATTACATACAAGATGCTAGTGCAAGCTTATGTTCTGTTTAAGGTACTTTGGTATTCAGAAATTACTGGTAATGGTAGTTGCTTTGTCTTACATTGTCTGAAGGTGACGTTAATTGAAAAAAAAATCTTGTTTTCTACAAAGTAGAGAATCCCTGGGGGAACAAAGCCTTCTTTTGAATTGATTGTGTTCATGTTTGAAATTGTGGTGTTTTATTCTTTTGACAAGAAACATTGTCAAATAGTACAGGAAGGTTATTGCCTCTTTTTTTTTTTTTTCCCCCCCCCTCTCCTCTTTCCTGAGCAGTTTGGCTTGCTACTCAGAATCACAGTACACTTGTGACAGAGACCACAGTGGTACCTTTTCTTCCTGTAAATCCTGAATATTCCTCAACCAGGAATCAGGTATGCAATCTTCTAATACTGTAAAACTATTTTTATTTAATAGACCAGGTATTGTAGGTAATATTGCTTTACTGTACTTCATTACTGTGGAAGAGTTGCCTGTACTTGTAAAGAGTTTCACAATAGTTTCACATTTCCCCTGCCCTGGAGTGTGCAGCTGGGTAATTTAAAACACACTTTGTTCAATTACATTTATTGCAAAATCAACTCTCTGTAAGTGTTATAGTCTTAATTTTACCTGGGAACTCTGCTGTTCATCTAATACACCACGTACTCTTCCCCCCCCCCTCCCCCC